CAAAAAAAAAAAAAAAAAAAGCATGTTATTATTTCTGAAATGTAACAATAAAGATTAAAAGACCAATGGAATGCTGCTATTAATAATGGCTAACAAGCAGAAAAAAACTGTAACTTCAATGTTATATTTAAACTTTAAAGAATGTATTTGGTAAATACATTTTCTATGGCTTCTGGATGTACATACTCATATAAGTATATTTGTGTGTGTTTATGTATAAAATCTACAACACACAAGATACTCATTTTTCTTATTTACTAACTAGTAATACAATTATGCTAATAAAACCACAGAATATCACATTAAACAATCAATGAAAAGGCAGATCAATACAAGAAAATTTTCTACTACTAGTCTGTATGTCAACATCAATAAAAAACCCTAATATTACTATAAAAAATAAGTTATAACTTCAAAGTTTACTAATACATAGAAAAATCATATATAAACATCAATTTCAATGCACAAAAACTGAGTAGCACAAGAAAGAATTAAAATATTCTTACCACAATTTTTTTCCTCACAATTTTGGTCTTTCCGTAAATCTTTCTTAAATACATTTGGCATGTCAGCAGATATGTGGAATTCTATTCTCTTACTCCCTACAGGTTGTGGTTGGTCAAATACATCTGAAGGTAATAGCACAGGATGTAAATTGCTATTTAAAAAAAAAAACATGGCATGAGTTTATGATTGGAAATTGAATCCTGAAAACATAATTACAAAATTAAATTAAAAAAGCTAATACTAATTAAACATTTCTGACGCTACAAGCATTGCAAAAAGCAACTTAAGATTTTATATTTAATAAACCATAACAGGGCCTGGGATTTAGCTCAGTGGTTCTGCTGTCTGCCTCACAAAAGCAAGATCCTGAGTTTGAACCCTGGTACCAAATATAAATAAATAAACGTTAATTATTGTGTTAATGTGAGCTATTTGATTCCTAACTTAGAGATGAGGTAACTGAAACTAAAAGATGTTAATAATTTGCATAAATCATCTCAAAGGACTTGAGTACTGATCTTAAACCCTAGAATATATATGGAAAAAAAAGTCCACAGTTAATATGTTTTTAATGCACTGTATTTTCTACACTATGTAATAAACTAGTAGTCACTACCTATATGTCAGTGATTTTCTATAAGAATGCAAAAGAATCTCAATAATTTTTACATAGATTATATGATTTTATTCTGGATAAGTTATCAATGTTAATTTCATCCATTTGTTTTTACTGTTTAATGTGGCTGTTAGAATATTTCACATGGCTCATATTTGTTTCTACTGTTAAATCTCAAAATCCCTTTCTCAATTTATAACATTAATTACGATTTTCAAGGGAAGGATGCCTTATAGATAGGCTGAATAAAGTTAAAACTGCAACTAATGGTAAAAGGCAGAAAGGGATATAAAAAGACGGTAATATAAAATAAACAGCAGAAAACTTTGAGACCTGAGATACTCAGTATGCTGGTAAACTGATTTATGAATACTTATGAATTTAGCAAATAGGCCAATGATGAATTAAGTAAGCTGATAATCAACATGTCATACTGAGGATTAATTCGAGTTAACCAAGTACACAAAGTATATACAGACAAAACCCTTGTTTGGTAATTCTAAATAAGATTACCTTTGTGAAGCAGATGAAGATATATTTAACATATCTTTTATTTTTTGCTTTTTTCTCACATGGCGCTGCTTTGTAATCTTTGGTCTTTTGGGCTGAAGATTTGCTAGTTCCATTAGTTTGGTCATTCTATGTTGGGGGAAGAAGAGTAAAAAAGATTTCGTCATCTCAAAGCATGGTTATTTGAGACTTTTTGTTAAGCTTACATTTTTATAAAATGTAAATAAATTCTAACATGAATAAGGATATATATGGAATAAGGATAACTCTTAAACCATTAATCAGAGATACTCAATCTCATAAAACTTTACATTCTAAATTGTCTTGCTCTACTTATACTTTTACTCTAAGAGAATTAAAAAGAATTTAATAAATTACAACTCATCAATGTTTTTAAAAAAATGCTGTAACTTTATTAGTTACCAAAATACCTGGACTTAAAGCCAAAAAACTGAACAAGAAGCTTTAATATAACATCTGAACTTTATTGTTTTCTTGTCAAAAAGCCAAAAGACCTTACAAATATAGTAAATTATTATTAACATTTTGGTATTGGGGTTGAACTCAGGGGTCTTACACTGAGCTACATCCCCAGCCCTCTTCTCTTTCTTATTTTGAGATAGGGTCTTGCTAAGCTGCTAAACTGCCTACGATGGGCTTAAACTCGGGACTGCACCACCATGCCTGCCTAAAATTATTCTGATTCATTTTCTAATTACTAAACAAAGCATGGACTGAAGAATTTCATTGAAAACCATTTTATGCATAATTCTTGCAAATAAATCATTACAGAAGAAAGGTAACAAACTACTTGAGAACAAAGTTTTCAAATAATATACTCTGAAGTAAATTACACATAAATTCAAAAAGTGATGGATGAATGATACCTTGTATATAGACTTCCTCCGTTAGGAATATGAACAGTTAATATTTACCAGTTATTTGAAATATAGGTCTATATGTACATAAATTGCTCACTAAAAATATGCCAAACCTAATCAAGGGTAAGTATACATTGAGTAGTAAATAAATATTTCCAGTATCAATTATTTTTACCAGTTTTTAGAAGGTTTTGTTACATTTCTAGAAGATAAAAGAGAGGCATGCAATCAAGAGGTAGGCACATAAGTCTTTGTTCTCTCTCATGACACAAGGTAAATTATCGGCAGAATTCTATGCTACATTCTTAAATGGACACCTACATTAAAAAAAAAAATCACAAACAAGAAATGGTTTTGGCCAGTCTACATCTAGCATTTTTACTATCAGTATGTGTGTGTGTATATAATAAAGTTAAAAAAAGGTAAGTAATTAATCCTATTCAACATTTTTTATTTCTTTCCATCCTACCCCCCCACCTCTAGGTCAACATTTTAATATTTCTTTAAATTTAGCAACAAGTTAAAGATCCATCTACCATGGGCTGTTTCCCTAAATGTCTATTCACGACAGTCATTAACTCCCATTTTGTAGTTTCATGCCCATCTACATTTTATGCCTTCCTATTGAAATAGAACATAAATCACTATGAAGATAAACTATGACTCATTGATACCAAAATTGCTTACTATTTCCAGACACTGCCCAGAGTCTCCGCTTTGTTGCCAATGTCAACCATTCCTTTTACATTTGACTCTGTATAGTTACCTAAGATTTCCGTTATTTGCCGGTATCAGTTATATAGGCTAGAGATTGGCAAACTATAGCCCAAGGACCAAATCCAGCTAAGTACCTGCTCTGGTAGTGTTTGGCTGGAACAGTCACACCTACACATTTAGGTATTATCTATGGCTTCTTTCCTACTAGAAGAGTATTAACAGACTGACGTAGAGACACCTAAATCCCGGTAATCTGGAAGGCTAAGGTACCTTAATGAGATTGTGTCTCAAAATAAAAAGGGATGGGACTGTAGTTCAGTATAAAGGCCTAGGTTAAAGCCCCATTATCACCAGAAAAAAAAAAAAAGAGCTGAGCAACCTAACAGTTAAGACAAAGATCAAAGATGTGGCTCACAAAATCAAACCTATTTACTATTTACACAGAAATGCTAGGGAATTCCTATTTAAGCTAGGTTGTAGATTCTGTACTTGAATATTATTAACAATTTATTACCCCTTGTTAGAATCTTTGAAGTAATATATTCCAGAGAAATAAGCTGTCAAATATTCATATAATTGATGTTTATTATCTATAGTAATTATGTGTTATAAGGGTACCAACATTACTGAACAATAAATCACTATCCCTAGGAATTCAAGGTTATGTCCCTGCAACCTTCTGCTTGCAATGTTTCACCAAATGATTATTACATAACATGTTTTTATATGAGTTTAAGGTGACCTAATTTAATACACATTGTTGATTTATTAATATTGAACCTACAGTCACAATTTTTGCCTAAAAGAAGTTTATCTAATGTATGTTTCCCCCATAAGCCACACTTCTTTCTTAATTTTAGGAACACTAGACAATTTAACACTTTGAGGGCCAGTTTGAGCAGCAAAATTACCAGCAAAAAGTGAAAAAATATGACAACAAAACAAAATAAAATATTAAATCGACCATAAAAACAACTTGTGCATAGTGGTACTGAAAGAAAAAGGCAAAAGACCACTGCTACAGTTTGGACCTTGAATGTCCCCCAGAGTGCATGTATTAAAGCTTAGTTTTCAGGGTGACACTGCTGCGAGGTGGTGGAAACTTTAGGAGGCAGTATCTAGAGAAGCTCTTTAGTTCGCAGAAGGGACATGCCCTGAATGGTGATTGTGGAACTGTGGTCTCTTCTTCGTTTCTGTTCCTGACCATGGGGTGAGCATTTTGTACACCACATGCTCTTGTGCTTTATCACAGGCCCTAAGCAATTGACTATGGTCTGGAACTCTTAAAACCAGGAGACAAAACAAATCTTTCCTCTTTATAAGTTATTTAAGAATTTTGTTATAATGATGGAATGCTAATACAGTCACTATTCAAACCCTTTGGGAACCTCTATTTTGGGTGAATAATTTTTCAACATATTATACATAACTATATCCTAAAGATACTGTCGAACTGTGGAAGCACAGCAGGTATTGATTTTGGGGCTATAAATTTATCAACTAGTCAAATCTGCAAATATGAAACCCATAAATAAACTCAACTACATTTTGTAATATCCTAGTCACTGATTAAAAATTTATGCATAACTGAAAGATTTTCCTTGAGGGTAGGTTAGTATTCATTCTCACGTCTTGCTGTCATACAAGCTTGAAGGGTTGGGGGAGCTGAAAATAAATTCTATGACTATAAATTTCGAAGAATTATAAGAATATAGGAAGAGCAAGAGAGTATTTTTGCACATTCTGTTTCTTGAAATTAAACAATTATTCCACATTACAAACCTCTGGCGATCCTCCTCATCACTGCTTTCGTATTCTGATTCTTTACTAGACAATTCCTCATCTTCATCTGGCAAAGGAGGCTCCTCAGGGGGCCGAGGAGATGTAGGTGGAAGAGGTGCATGCAATGGCATATAGTCTTCATACTAATTAAAAATACAAAAACCTTGCAGCAATCTGTAGTATTTATAGAATCGATGAATTGTTTCCATTGAAATACTTGATTCTCATTTCCCTTTACAGCATGATAATCTTTTATATATTCCATACACATTCAGGGAACTACTGTGATAGACTATGAGCTGATTACAAATTTATTTTTGTCTTCTTTGCCCCTCAGCTACACTACAACTTGCAAACCTTCCTTCTAGTTACATTTCACTGAATTTTAACCAAGGAAATAAGAATACAAAACACTTTCCATATAATCCTTTCTTCCTGATCTGGGAAGATACATGGTGAACACATCAGGTTTTTAAATGACAGTAGAGCAGAAAATCCTTCTGGTCTATTTCTGAATTTGAATTGACATGACTGAGAAATAACTCTTATTGTACTGGAAGTCTTTAATTTTTATTTCCAACACCTAGCCTAATCTTAATAACTTTTCAATATAAAAATCATTGAAAGTGTAGGGGTTATAATGAAAAATTATGAAATAATAGATATAGTAGAAAAGGACTCAACACCAAATCAAATTGTCTTCTACCTGTATGTTAATACTCAAAATAATCTCAAGAGCTACATTTGCACAATAAATTCTAATAAAAATACTAGCAACTTTTTTTTTGATTTTTCCAAATGAAGCTCTACTTACAACATAACAATGGAATTTTTGATAATTGAGTTAAATGTAATTGACTTAAAGGAAGACATAATGGCTTAGTCATAGAACTGAACAATACTGGAAGAAATTTTGGCATCAACTACCAAAGTCATTTGTTTCATATTCTGGCTTTACTACTCTTTCACTGCTAAGCTTTATTATGAATATCATATTTCCTTTATAAACCATCCTTATTTTCAATGTATATCGAAGGTTACTACACTTGTATAATTTATCTTCAATAATCCCACTCAGCAATTTTGATTCTTGAAAATTTGAAGAGCATTCTTACCATGGGAGGTCGTGCAGTAATTGGTCCAAAAGGTGTGGGCAAATTCATTTTATTCATAAGGTGAAGCACCTTAAAAGTTGTAGAACATTTAAAATCTCATGGTATAAAATAATGACTCAATTTCCATTTTCTATGTCATAAAAAACTTGGTAATAATATTATTGATTAGTTTAGTATAAAAAAGTACATATCACTTGCCTTTATAATCACCAAGACAAGGGAAAATAAAGCACTGTCCTATCTCAGAAGGTTAGTTTGGTTATTTAAAATAGGTTTTCAAGTCTACCATTATTCTCCCTACTAAGAATGTACATCTCTTGTAATGTAAAACCTACTGATATACTTTCATATTCCTATTACTGATTGTTGTGAGACTATGTAACAGTGTACAACAAAACTACACAGCATCTGTATTTTCAATCCTGCCTGTTGGCAAAATTTTCAAACATTTGCTTAGTCAGGGTTCATTTGTCTTTTTTTTTTAATCTCTATATTAAAAGTATATTATAAAGTAAAAGACAGCATAAATTACATTTCCCAATCAGCTTCTCTGTTCTAGTATCCATTTATAACTACATTTTACAAGTCTCTACTTGAGAGTAGTATGTAATATTTCATTATCTGTCTGGAATAAGTCTAATAAACATCATTATAAAAAAGTCAAGAATCTACATGGAAAATAAATTATTGAGCTATACAAATACATACTTTGAGCAAAATAAGCTTTAATCTACTTACTTGTACATAGAACTTAGGCACACTTGCCAAAGCATTCACTATGTTTGCTAGGATTGTGCTTGAAGGTGGTGGGTACATATACTTGAGGCATGAATTCAGAGGAAAAGTCAGCCTAAAAAAATTTTTTAGATGTTTATTGTTTTAATAATTTCTTATCAATAATATCTTTTAGATAATCTGATAAAATACAAAACTGTATAAACGATATAGAGTAAGTCTTGACTGATAAACAAGTTCCATTCTGGGAGAACATTCCTAAGTCTGACAAAGTGAGTCTTAACACACCTATCTATGACCCAAATATACAATGTACATTGCTTTGTGCTTCCCAGCAGTGCCCTCCATATCACCACTGCTTTTCTTCTTGCTTTCACACATTATGGACTCTGAACAAGGATTATACTACTGTACATAATCACAATGTACAATAATTGTACAGCACAACAGTGACAATGCTCAGCAGACATGTGAGCTACTTCCACAATTCGTTCTTAACTATGAATTTTCATAATCATTCATATCTGTGAAAGTTCACAACCTGAATGTTTTAAATCAGGGATCTAATGTAGTACTCTTACATTTATCTTGATCCTTAAAGATGCAAATAAATATTTTTAGGAGGAAATTCTGACTGTATTATAGGAAACATTTCATCAAAGCTAGCTTACAGCTCTGAACAATTTAATAGATGCTTTCTTTGGATAAGCCTATAGCCCAGAATGTTTAACATATTACAATTATACATGAAATATATTAAAACACTTTTATTTTATATATATTTTTATATACCTACTTAGAGCAACAAAATAAAAATGGGAAAAATAATTTAAAAAGTGCTAACCCATGATTTGGAGCAATTCCATTTTCTACTGTTAAACAACCAAATTCTTTTTTTTCTTTATCATCTTCCACAGTGTCATCAGACCTAGAATACATAGAATCAAAGCTGATGCTATCTTTGGAAAGAAAAAAAAACAAAAAAAACCCAACAAACTTGCATGTAGAAAAGAGAAATTATCCTTTCAAATATAACAGTATGAAAACAGATTTGTTAAGGAGCAAAAAATATTTTTCAAGCGAATTTTCAAGAGTCAAAATTTCAATGAAAAATAAGCATAGTAGAATTAAACATTACTGAGTATCTTCTAGTATTACTATACCAACCCTCCACATTTTCACTACTTTTCACAGAAAGTTTATAAACATGGTATAATTCTTACTGACCCCCCAAAAAAAAACCCCTACAATTTATATGCTATATAAAGGTACTCCTATTTCTTTTAATGTATATCTTTCTCCATACTCATAGATGCCTAGGATCTATTTACCTCCCTCTTAAAATTCTGATTTAAATAAGAAAGGTACATAACTAGAGTCAGAGTTGGGAACTAAATACTAATATTTGATTTCAAGGTTATGGCTATTCATTACAACTTACTATCTCTAATAAAAGGACCTAATTCTATACACTGGAATCCAGAAAATCCAAAATATGAACTTATTGAGATTCAAAATGATGTCACAAGAGGAAAACTTCATACCTGACCTCATGTAACAGGTCACAAGCAAAAAAAACACAGGCAAGCTAAGAACACTGTATAAAATTAGTTTCAAGTTATGTGTATAAGGCATATATGCAACAAAAAATAACCTAATGTTTAGACCTGGGTACTATTCTTACTATAACTTCACATATATCTACAAATATTTCAAAACAATTTTTGAAATACTTCTGGTCCTAACCTTTTCAGATGTTGACTAATCAACCTACTTTCCCTCCCCCAAAAAGGGGAATGCTTTTTACCTGACTTCCCACTTTATTAAATCTTTACATTAAATTAACATTCAGGTTCTTAAAGCACAATTAGAAACAAAACCAGGTAGTTTTACTACAGTAGAGTTAGTAGAAAAATATATCATTTCTGTTTCAAATTATTTACTTGCAGTGTGAAAACAATCCCGTAACTATAACATTGATTTTTTAATAAAAAAAGAGAACACCTTTTAAAAATGGTAGGAAAACCTACATATCTACCTACCTTTTCTTTTTTTCAGTGCCTGAAGTAGGACATGGGGAATGAACTCGATCTTGTTCTTTTGCAAATTCAACAACTAAAGTATGACCTAGAAGTTTCAGCTGATGGAGTCTGGTCAATGCCTTTAGTTAGAAGAGAAGCAAAAATTTGGTAATTATACCAAACACATTTGCTAGTTACCATATATAATTTATATATATTTTTATTGCTGTTCTTAATGCTTCCAATATTCCCTTGGCTATTTTGTAACCATTTCTATTTATTTACTTATTTATTTTGTAGTAAATAAGTAACCCAGTAGTGCTGGGGATCCAACCCAGGGTCTTGCACATGCTAATCAAGTGATCTACCACTGAGCTACACATCCCCAGCTCTGGTATCTTTCCTTTTCAGGCTATCAAGTCTTTATTACTTACCAAAAGACTACTATTCCTAACTATTCTTTGTATAATTTAACAAAATGAAAATCTGGCTAACTCTCTCTACCATCTCTACTTAACTTACAAACCTGAAAATGCCAGAAAACAACAAGAAATTTGCCTCGTCTCATATTAAATTCAGAACCACAGAACTCTAGGTAGCCCCTAATGATGTCACACAATATAGCACAATCATATTCCAATTTTTCCTAGTCTCTAATATTTATACTTCTGCTTGTTCTTAACTTCACATTCTCTTAGCCTAGCACCTTGCTTTCTGAGACAACTGAAGAGATCAGGTAAAGATTATAGACTCCCACTGTAATTCTCTAACCACCAGCATCTGCATCCACATATTCTGTACATGCATCTGTCATCACAAATTAAATTTTAATCCAAATCTAGTTGCTTGACTTATATAATAAATTTTAGTCTCTCTTCTACTCAAGTCTTTACCTAATCTGGAGATAAGTGTTCTTCCATAAATTATTAATTTTCTGTCCTCTATTGGATCACATTTAGCAGTATTCCTCCCACCTTGAACATTGCTTCTTTTATGCTGTCACCACTATCTATTTTTATTCTTGCAGTAAAACTGCTTAAAAGTTATCTATATCTTCTACCTTAACTCCTTTCCCCCCATTCCAGTCAGGTTTATACTTTAAATCAATAGACAATGTCACAGATAACTACAAATTCTGTAGTGCCAAGCTAACAGTCGACCCTTAATCTTCATTATACTACATTTAACATAGTTGATACTTTTCCTTGATACATATAATATTTGGTTTGAAGACCTAATTTTTCTCATAGTTTCCATTTTAGCTTACTGACTTTTACTCCCCAATCTCTAGCTTGTGCCTTTTTACAATCACATAATGTTGGATTGCTCCAGAGCTCCATTCTTGGTCTTCCTTTCATTGGGTGGTCAGTTACGATTTGGATCAAAAATGTCCCCAAAAGGTATATGTGCTCAGAGGTGGGGCTTTTTGGAAGATTAATCCACTGATGAATTCACAGCTGAATGTGCTCTTAGGAGGTGGAATCTATTTGGAGGAAGAAGGTCATGGGCTGGGGTGGGTAATCTAGAAGGCTATATTCATGTTACCTGTCCCTTTCAGTCAGATCCTGCTCAGAATATTCTAGTGACTCCTCATTTTTCTTAAAAGTAAATGTCAATGTCCTTACTATAATGAGGACCCCACTACTCCTCTGACTTCAAATCCCATGATCTCCATTTCATTTCGACTGCTCCGTGACTTCCTTGAAAATAACAGGCACGTACACACTCAAGGATTTCTTTGCTGCACCTGTTCCTCAGACTGAAATGCATTTTTCCTAGGGATTTCCTCAGATAACTTCCTTCACCTTTGTCAAGTCATTGGTGAAATATGACCTAAGTACAACCTGAGTCCTCCTTTCCCCATCCAGTACTCCTTATTTTCTTTCTCTATTTTTCTTTTACTAGAGAATTATCTTTTAAAATAGTGAATAATTAAGTTTACTACTTATAATCTATGTTTTTCCGAATGTGTCAGTGAGGGCATCTCTATTTTTACTGACATATCCCAACACCTGAACAGCACCTTGCACATAGCACACATCAATTTTTGAACACATGGGATTTCCGATCTTAACTGAGTTACAATTTTAAGCGACCATTTGCATGCATCCTTATTTGTCTCCTTACTTTATTATACAAAGCAAGTTATAAAATGCTTCAATAACTTAAGACCCTAAATTAATTCTAGACTTTTAAATTGTCAGTGAATCCTTGATTATCTAAAATGAAGGCCATCTAAGCTGAACAGCTTCCTTTCAAAATGGATGTCACATATTTATTTTTAAGATTGTATGACTTCCTTTTTTTTTTTGGTACCGGGATTGAACTAAGGACCTTTTGCTAGCAAGGTGGGTGCGGTGCCACTGAGCTAAATCCGTGGTCCCATGCCTTTTCATTTTTAATATTAACTAACTGCCCTTTCTCAGATATCTACTTGTATTCTTAACATTTCTTCCTTTAATTTCTTATCAGTTTCCAGTAAGATCAAGTATACTCTAACCTAAAACCACTTGCCAGTAACCTCTTATTCAAATGCCTGGCTCCATATCCTATCTTCCAAGTTAATCTTGATCTTAAAATTATGTATTTTTCATTGTCATACTTTTTGTGTAATTTATAATGATATAGACACAGTTCGTTAGTCAAGGACTTTTTATCATGAAACAATAGAAATGATCCAAATTCGCATCAATAATAGAGAAAGGATACCTTAGCCTATAGTACTGGGTGAATATACTTAACTTGAAATGCTCCAACATCTGAAAAAGGCTACATATTTTAAATAACCTTTTCTTTTTTCGGGGAGGGTACCGGTGATTGAACTCAGGACCTTGAACTTGCAAAGCAGGCAGAGGAATCACTGAGCTAAATCTCTGGCCCAATAACCTTATTTTCTAGGAAGAAAAATTCCCTGTATATTACAAAAGTATTTCAAAGCCTTCTGTAATCTTAAGACCTATTGAAACAATCTGATAAATATTTCAAATAAATTAATGTGACATATAGTTCTGCCACACTGTTTCTTTGTCTATACAAAAACATTAGGTACAAATGTTTCGCAATTCATCTATGCTATATGCTCTACAATTCTCTGTTAATATATACCATTTGACATCACACAATTGCAATCCAGAATATGGATACAAAGGTTGAGTATCCCTTCTCTGGAATATGTAAGACCAGAATTCAGATTTTGGATTTCTTCTGATTTAAGAAAATCTGTATATATATAT